GCGGCTGGGGGGTGACGCGAGTTCAGCCGCAGCATCACCCCTGTGTCGGCCCACATCTCACCCCCCCATCCTGCCTTCCCTTTCAGGTCTTCCTCCATGAGGCCACCGTGCGCCTGATGGCGGGTGCCAGCCCGACCCGCACCCACCAGCTGCTGGAGCACAGCTTGAGGCGACGCACACCCCAGAGCACCAAGCAAGGTCGGCCCCGGGGCCCGGGCAGCGACCCACTGCCCGTGGGGCTGGGAGGGGGCAGTGGTCGGGCAAGGTGGGGGGCATAGCTGCACCCTGCAGCGTCTTCCCCATGTCCGAAGCTCAGGATAATGAGCTCCTGTCAGCCTGTGGCTTGCTGTGATACTTCTGCCGTGCTTCTGTGAGCTGGCTAACGTGAGCTGCCGGCCCTGAGCTGGAGGTGTCAGCAAACAGGCTGGAAAACATTGGCCTTCGTGCAGCCATGCATGCTGGAAACTTGGCAGGCTGGAGTTTGGGGCAGTCACTGAAAGAGCAGAAGACAGGAATCCTAGCAGGGAGAGTCAAGAGATTCACTGCAGATCGTAAAGTCCTCTGGAGATTTAAGGAAACAGGCAGGTGTGCACACTGGTGTTGGGATGAGCCCTGGGAAGTGAAGTGAAAGGGACCATCGACATAGAAGACAGGATTGACAGTCCGTCCCTGACTCCAGCTCAGACTGTTCTCCACCAGCCTAAAGGAGCTGCTTGAGGGTCCGCAGGGTGTCCCCCATTCTTGGCACGGCTGGGGGACGCCAGCCAGAGATGCCTGTGCTCACTGGTGCCAGTGGAGGGGCCGGCGTGGCAGGATTTCCTTACGCAGGTGGTAGCTTCGTCGCGAGCTTTCTCTCTCCTCTTTGTGCCTAGGTGAACTGGACACCCTGCCAGGCCAGAGGGAGCGAGCCACGGCCATCCTGTTGGCCTGCCGCCATCTCCCCCTCTCCTTCCTCTCCTCCCCGGGCCAGCGAGCCGTCCTGCTGGCTGAGGCCGCCCGCACCCTGGAGAAGGTGGGGGACAAGCGCTCCTGCAACGACTGCCAGCAGATGATCGTCAAGCTGAGCGGGGGCACGGCCATCGCTGCCTCCTAACGCTGGTGCGGAGGCTGCCTCGTGCAAAGACAGCCTGGTCGACCATCAGCCTGGACTTCCCTCCTGGAGCTCAAAAAAAGAAGTGCTAGGTTAGGGCTGTGCTGGTGGGATCGTGATGGGGTGGGAGGGTGGGTTTTGTTTTTGTTTTGTTTTTTACCGTGCCCCAGGTTTAGCTTTATAGGGGCACATCTCGTGTCTGTCCTCAGGGGCATCTTGCTCCCTTCCCAAACACCTCTGCAGAAAGAAGCCTTTGGGGAGGGCGGAGGATCTGCTCAAGCCTTGCCCTGTGGGGCTGCTGGGGTCTGGGGCCATTCCTGAGGGTGAGGGGGAAGGCACCAGCTTCCCGTGAGCTGTGTGTCAGGAAACTGAAGCCCCCTAGACCCAACTTAGAGGTGCTCCGGGAGTATCGCTTGGGGCCAGTACCGCCCTGCAAGTTTCTCTACAGTTTTTATACAGGTTTTTTTATAGGAGTGTTTGTGGCTTTACAAAAGCGTAGGGAATGATGCAGCAGATTTCCCTTCCTCTCCGCTTCATGTGTCTCCTTCCTGTGATAGCTGCCTCCGGTTTTTGGCAGGGGGCTGGGTTTGTGGCAGCCAGCAACAAGCGGAGCCTTGTAGAAGGCCACGGAGTCCCTGGTCATCTGGTGCTGGGTGGCAGCAGAGGTGGACATGCAGCACCCTGCGCTTGGCTTGGGGGGTGAATGCTTCTCTGGTGCCTTTTTGTTGATGCAGAAACAGTTTTTAGAAACAGTTTTTTATTTTACCCGAGTCCCAGTCCCAGAATTTGTCTTCAGGTGTTTCTCCTTCCCTTCTCCAACTGCTCGACAGCTCCTGCAGGGACTGGGAGGCACTAGTTCCAGGTGCGAGTCTGCCAGCTCTGTTACCATCGCTGTTCAGAGCAGTTGGACTTCCAGGTGTTGAATCGCCTGTGACTTTCCGAGAGGGGGAGGCGGATTGGGGACGGGGAGGGAACGGTTTGCCCTCTTGCTCCCTGCCTTTCCTGTTACATCTCTCCAAAGAAGCGTAAAGCGGTTGCCCTCTCAAGGTGTGCAGATGTGGAACCCGGCCTTTGACAGGCAGATGTTGCTGTTTCTCCCTGTGCGTAGCCGGCGTGTGCTCCATGTCGGCAGCTTCGAAGCACTTCGCTACAGGCAGCGGCCCCCATCCTGTCGTGTCCCCATCAGGTCCTGCTGGACAATGCGGCTGCGATGGCCGGCAGCCTGTGCGGTTGGAGAGGAGCTCGTCCGTTGAGGGGGAGAGGTTGCTCTCGCGTGTCATCGATCGGTGTGGGAGCGGGGATCCTCAGCGTGCAGAACAGCTCGGGGGCTCGGGTGGGGTTTGATTGCCCGTTCCCGAGTTTCCTGGCTTATCAGTGGTCCTGTTTTGGGGGGTGGATCGCATCCCTCTACTTCTTCTCCTCTTAAGTAGCTTTTGCACTGTTGTCCTGGTCATGGGTTTTTCCTACAATACAGAAACTGCTTACCTGTGGCAGCCTCCGAGTTATTTCACATTTCCCCAGGTCTGCCTGTGACACATGGGAAGTTCTGTGCTTTAGCAAAAGGGGAAGTGAGGCTTTGGGAAAACAGAGAGGCGAAGGCTTCACTTGGTCATTAACAGTGGACCGAGTCCTGGGGGCTGGGCCAGGGGCTGGGAGGCTGCTGGGCTGAGACCCCGGTACCTAATGGCACGATCCATGGAGGGTCTTAGCGCTGCTGGTACTTCTCTCCCCTCCAGGGCGAGGGATCTTCACCCCGTTTTTTCTACACTGTTCGTAAATTTGCTGCCTCTCTGCCCTACAACTTTTTTTATATGTGTGTGTATATACTGTAACTTTTTTTTGTTCGCGGATGGGAGGAAATTGTTTTATGGATTATGTGAAGAAAGTCTATTTATCCACATGGAGTTGGGAGTAGGGATGCTTTGTGAATCGAGGTGCAACGGGTGGTGGGGAGGTTCCTCGGGGAACATATCTGCTGTCTGAAAACCCTGTTCCAGGGCTCATGAGCGTCTATTACTTAATAAAGGCAAATGTTACCACCGCCTCCCACCTGCCCTCTTTCTCTTCGCCCTCCATCCCACCCAGCAGCTGCTCTTAAGCATAGGTGAGCCTGAAATGTCCTTCAGAGACATCCAACTACGCAAGCGTCTCGGGAAGCTGTCACCCCTTTGTCCGGATAACCTGGAAAATGGAGCTGTACAGCTTGCAACGAAAGACGGTCCCTTGGTGGAGCAAGTGTGGTGTCTCTGTGCTCCTTTAGATGCAACCCAAGAGGCTGAGGGCTTGGGCAGAGCCAAGCAAGGTAGAGCTGGGCCAGAAGCTGGCAATTTTAGGAGCAGCTCTATGGGAGGAAAGCTTTTACCTGACCTTGCTTGGAACAACGTCCTTTCGCTCTGTCTCTTTGTTTCTCTGCTCCCCCTGGTCAAACTCTGTCAGAACCATTAAACTTCAGGCAGAGGAGATCTCTGCGGTTTTTGTGTAGCTGCTCCGAGGGTTTTGCGCTTGGCCGTGGAAGCTGTGTCCCCACTGTGTCCCCCAGCGGGGAGTGGGGGGTGTCCCTGGGGACTGTGGGAGTGGGTTTTGCTGCCGTGGGAAAGGGGCTAGGTTTTTGGGAGCAGCGTGTGGTCCCCCAGCCAATCCATACTGAGGCCATACAGTTTATTGTATTATTTATTGACGAGGTGGAGGATGGGGCTGTCGGGGAAGGGGAGGCTCTGCCAGCGGCAGCGGGATGGTGCCTTGAGTCCATTGCTCTTCCCCCACCTGCTCACGGGGGCTAGGTGGGGGTGCCCGGCCCCAGCAGGACGTGTCCCCCCCATCGCTGGGGGCTGCAGTCTGTCTGGCGTCGGCCCCCGTCCCTGCAGCAGTGCCCCGCTCCGGCAGTGTGCCCCGGCTCTGAGAACAGCTGAAACTCATTGTCTGGAGGAGAGGGACGGTCTGGCCTCCTCGACGGTGAGGCGCAGCCGGCAGCCCCCGTCCC